ACATGACCCATCATGTTCACAACTGACAAATATGTGGAATAAGTAAAAAAACACATTCACACAGCAGTGATGCTGTATCTAATAATTATAGTGGAAAGGCAGATTTAGATACTTCATCGTGGGAACTAAATCTCCAGGAGAACAGCAGGGGGGACAGAAGGACAGAGAAATCAAAAGGATTGGCAAGAGCAGGACGCATATACCCGAATCAGATCATTTCATATATAATCATTTCTCATTAACATAGTTTAAAGTAGATTATGTGTTTTCCTGACAGATTTGCTTGTGGAAAAAATAGAACAGATGTCAAAACTGTAGCTGCAGCGGAGCCGGTTCAGACAACTGCGTCTCTGTGGCGAGACAGGCGAATAAAAAAACTGTGGTCTAGGCATGGGGTGGACGGGAGTGACTGAAATGTCTGGTGCAACATATAGGAGCGTTTGTAGGGATACGGAGATTCGTGACGTACAAAGAAAAGGTGCATAAAGTGGCCAAAAAAACCAATGGCCCCTTTGACCCCCTACTTCTGGAGCCCATGCCTTGTGGCCACAGTGGCCTTGATGACCCACTGACACTGCCCCGGCTGATTTTGCCATTTTCTCCTCTGCCACTTTCCTGACAATCCAGTTTTTTAGACAGCAGTGTCTTCTGAATTCTTATTGGGCTGAGGTGAGGTCAGAAAGTTTGATAAATTAGCAAGTGAATAAGACAAGATACCATAGCTGGACTGATGATCAGGAGGACCGGGTCGCTCTGGGCAGCCCAAACGAGCAAAAGAGAAACAGTTCCTAATTCACCTGTTGAAAGCAAATCCTGAATTCACATAATATCAATAAATCAACTACACATTAACACCTTTAGTAAGCAATTTAAGTCCAATCAATAACCGTAACAACTGTTACAACAGATCCAATATCATTCAATGTCTTATGGAATTAATCAAAGTCAAATTAATACTTTTAGCAAAACGTCAAATATAACAATGTGAAATGATGTGATTTAATGATTATCTAACAATATTCTTTAACACTGTTACAATGGATCAAATCAAATATTTAGTAATATTAGCAGATTAAATACCCTTCATTACTATTTTCCACCAACTAAATATAATTCATAATATCAGTAATAGATCATATAGTTAACTTATAACTGCCTAATCATGTAACAGGTAGTAGAACTGAGAGGTTTCAGTTTTAGCATTCAACTGTTCAACACCAATTTGATCATTTTGTATGAAATTCCTCCTAAATTGTCCACCTGTCCCAAAGGAGGATCATACAACATGCATCTAAAGATGAGAGGCTGGTGCAGTCGGAGCTCAGAGAAGAGTCTTACAGGAACTATCTTTCGATTTTGGAATGTACAGTTTTTATTTAAAGTTGAACAAATCTAATATGAGTTCTCACAAAATTAACACTGCAGAGCATGCTATGCTCAAGATCAAGACATAAAGTAAGATCAAATATAAAAACATTCTAATCTATGGAGATCAGAACAGCAAAGAGAGATGCAGCCAACAGCGCCAGAAACTTCTCATGTCCCTCCTTTATACTGTCCAGTGAAGGTCAGAAAGAACTCAAGCTTTCTTCTAAATAAGGTAAAACATGAAACTACAATTCAGACATTAGTCGAAGCTCAATTCTTCTACGTCAAACTTAAAATGTGATCAGATTCAAGGAATGACCAGCAAGCTTTTGTTCAGTAAGTCATTGTCATTTTTTAAACATGCATAAAACAGGTAAATAAGAAAGGCGTAGACAGATCTCTGTTTGAACCTTTACATAACATTTTAAAAGGACTCTTAGCCTGAAGACGGGGACTTCTTTCATAGCATAGGTCACAAGGATGGGGAAACCATTTCAGCAGGTTGTCTGTGGTTTAACAGGTGTTGCTTTTCTCTGGAGCAGCATTGCAGTGATGTAGCTGAGCCAACCGTCACAGTTCATGACATTTGTGCAGACATTCTAACCAAGAGTCCCAACCAAGAAGTTCATTTCTACTTCAGTGTTTAATTTTTGTCCTCAATTTGGTGTCAAAATTTCTTTGGGGCAGGGAGCGGATGCCCAGAGGTGAAACTCGTCCATCCAAAAAATGAATAGAGAAAACATGAATATCTCACAGCACTTAGTGTGATGTTCTGTAGACTTCTGTCAGCACCCCCTAACTGTGACTGACTTTCAGCATCCCTGACGAATGGCTATGGTTACTGACGAGCATTAACACAGTATAAAAAACAAAGAATAAAATTTAAGTCATCCTTAAACCTTAAGATGAATTCATCATTTCTGTAAACTTAAAATCAATGTTTTATTTGGTGGCACTTGGCCTTTGAGCCCTCAAACATTGACAACACAAGTGGCCATGCTACTAAAATGATGAACTTCCTGGCCTAGTTAACAGACATGTGATGTGAATCCAGGTGTGTTTGATGAACAAAACAAGTGGAGAGGGTGGTGGACGAAAAAAGACAACAAGGAACAAAGGATGAACAGAAATAGCAACAGAAATGTAAAAATAAAGACGGTGTAAAAATAGGGCAAAAGAAGAAAATGTGGTTAAAACCAGAAACAGTTTTCAGCAAAGATGAAGCAGGTTAGTGTGTGTGTGTGGTCAGAGTTTTAAAGCCAGTAGACATGGGCCTGTTTGCAGCGTCACTTTCTGTTTGGCAGCCTGTAAATCTGAGCTGTCAGTCCATAATCAGCTCTGTCACTGAAATCGGTGGAGCTGATGGATCAAAATAAGCCTCAATACTGCACCACCGGCTCCATCAGCCCAAGAACAACTTGCAGTCAATTCCACTCACAAATGAGCTGTTCAGGTTAGGCAGTGTTAAAGGAATCAATATTGGGATTAAGTGTCAGTTTTCATGCTTCATTCCGCTAATGCATATTAACAGTTTATACATCGCTAATCGACAAGGGCCTCTGGTTACACAAAGGAAGTGCTCTCTGGAGCTTGGGCACTGCTGCTGCTTTCATATTGGTGGGGAAATAATTGTCATTCAACTCACTCAACATTTATTTTACCTGGCATGAGACGCATTCGCACCTGAAAGCTGCCCAGTACAACCACAGTGTGATCCGCTGTCCACCGAGCAGCCTGATCATAACTGTGCTGCCAGACCCAGCAGCCTTTGTGTCAGGAGTCATGCTCACTAACCTCTCACCCTCCTCGTCTTCTCGCCTGATGTTCTCTTAAAACAGCCATGTCTCCTAAAGACATATTTTACTCATTTTCAATCTTAAACCCACCTAAATTAATTGAATGAATGTTTGTGCAAAGTTGCAAAATGTTCATATTAATCATATCTGCAACATTTGGACTGAACATACTTCATTAGTTTCCCCACCAATATCCACTCGGATAAACTAAAGCATGACTAAATTGTTTCTGGTTCTGCTTGGACACTCACAGCACTTCAGTAAAGGTTAGGGATAGCTGATGGTCATGGATAAATACTGAAAAACACGTTTTACTAAACTATGATCATTCTCCAACATAAACCATGACCATACCTTCATCTGACAGATGATTTTGTTCAAAGCAACTTATGTCAGGGTACAGGTGATACTGGTGAAATGATTTGTTTATAGGTTTAGGACATCTTTACCACTGAGCCTTATGGCTAAACCAGCACCATACCAACAGGCCATTACATAACCTGAACACCTTGGTCACCATTCAAGAAAAGGATGCAGCACTCACCTGCTGCAGGTGACCTCGACCACCTCCGCCATCACTCCACTCTGTTGCAGCAGGGTCGGCAATTTGACGGCTGACTTGCTCAACTGAGGTCAAGCCAGCCTCCACGTTGTTTTGCAGTACCTGTGTACACTAGGCACTACAGAAGGAGCGTCTAAACTGATCTCAACTCACTCAATTCACATCCATTGTGTCAGTCAATAATGAACAAATGATTAAAAAAAACACAATAAGTACATTTAAAAATTAAGATATTTTAAATACTAAATATAATTAAAGTCTGAGAATATCAGTCTGATGTTGATTTTTAAAATTAAAGCCCTCTAAAATGTCATAGAGCTATATTCCCACTAGATTCAAATTATAATTAAATGGAAACATCCTGTTTCCACCAGTTCCACTTCACAGTGATAGCAGAGCACCCCAGTGTGGAAACAGGACGTTTCTTTTTAATAGTAATGTTAATGTAGTGGCAATATAGCTCATGTATGACTTTTTTTTAAATGAACTTGGCAACCAATCAAAAATGAGTTCTGAAGCAGTCACTGCAAACAAAAGTTTCTCCAACAAGTATTAAATAAACTCAGTTCTATTTCCTGTCATTCCACTTTATTGTACAGAACTTTTATGGATAAAATATTACGGTTTCTTTATCTGTGTAGTTTTATTGAATTAATACAAATATCTGTCTTGGAAAAGCTACATTTAAAATACGTTGAAAAAAAAAATTGACGTGTTCGATAACAATGAGGCACCTAATGTTCCCTGCTGTTATTAAGTAATCATCCCACAACTTATTTGGGCTTATTCCGTCTTTTTGTCATCTGTACTCTCCAGTGTTAGTTAAGTAGTGTATTGTATACATCGCAGCAGATTCATGAAGTGCTTCAGAACTCATTATCCTATCTTCCTGAAAACTCCCAACTCTGTCACTCAGTAGGTCGTCCTGTGCCCAGAACTATTACAATAGGCACCTCGTAGTTATACTTACAATATCCATTTTCAGAGATTGTTACCTCCTTATTCCCAAACTTCACACCTTGTCCCCTACATACATGTACCAGTACGTACTGTAATGGTACACTGGCAGTACAAAAAAGTATGCAGTAAAAATCTAAAGCTTTAGCAATTTGTTTCTTAGTGGACTACTAAACAGTATTTCTGTGCTACGCTGCAGGTCAGTCTTCCCAACCAATCTCTGGTGACCCCTGTTCTACTTCTTTGACATTCTGTAATCAGATGCAGTCGTTTAATCACTGTAAGCAAACAACAAACAAATAACACAAACAAACAAATTTTGTAGTGAAACTTTGTTTCTTTATTCACACCATTTTCTACTCCAGCTATGTTAGAAGTTAACGTAAGTGTCAATCCTCTAGTTCCTATGTTGATCTCTCATTCATCTGTACACACTATATAAAAAAGTCAAGATTATAATATGTTTAGAAAGCCAAGAGGGTTGAGGTGAGGAGGGTTCAACAGTTGTTGAGGTTTTCGCTTTACAGTTCCTCCTCTCACTTTCAGCCTCCTCCACCTCCCCTCTTTGTTTCCTTTTTTTCATTAAACAAAAGAACATATTGAACAAGGCATTTGTACCAGAGCTCAGAGGGGGGCTTGGACATTTGTAAAGCGCTTTGACTGTACAGCTCACGCAGAACACAACCAACAAGTCATATACAGAGCATGGTAAAAGAGGAATAGTATACTGCTTGGGCACGACACAAACACAATACAATGCCATCTGACAAAAAAGTACCATCGAAAAGGAAAACAAAATATTCTCTTTCAACTTTTTTAAGCATTTCATAGAAACAAAAGAGATAAATTGCAAACTTGGAGTAAACAAATTGAGAATATATACACAGTGAGGTAAAACACATTGGTCTGTAAAAGGAGGTATTTTCTTTTTGATTAAGTGACCTTTTTAATATGTTAATTATGCTTTTTAAGATACTTCTCAGCGTTTCGATGACATCTATAAAGCAGAATATGCAGACATCAATGCAGACACACAATCACATGCAATCTTGTCATTCAAGGTGAAAAGTTAAAGAAGTCTTGTCAAACTTAGGCACCAAATAAAACATGATAAAGCTTTCTGCTACCCTTGTTGCCACAAAGGCCTCACTGCAGCATCGAACCGGAGAGGAAAACTGTTAAAGCCAAGCAAAGTCTGAACCCTTTAGTGACCCAAACCCCTCCTCGCATCAACCTGAACCATCATCCAGCAGGTCTCTGAGACGATGGAGGGCAACCATGAAGGGAGAACGTGATAACGCTTTGACCCTAACGCATTCTTCATCACAGTGTGTGGATCATGCTAGCATAGATAGGTCGTTCAGCCTGTGTGATCCAGAGGGACTGAGTGGGCAGACACGATTGGCCCAGACTTTGCATAACAAGAGAAAGAGATATAAACAGACCCGTGCGGCAGATATTTCCATGCTAACAAAGTTGCTGGCACGACCTTTGGGCTGAGCTACGCAGGTTGTGCTCTGATTGGTTGGAGACTCTGAGAGGGCCGATACATTCACAGCTGTGGGAATTACTCAGTGCGTGGTTTGAAGCGGTAGAGCTGCTGGCATAGTTTATGTTGGCCCCCCATCAATGCACACAGAGCAGAAACAAACTGCTTGTTTTGGGCCTTTCTTGGTGTAAAAAGGCTGCATATTTCACCAGACCTACCAAACCGAGTGCATCTCATTTGTTGGGTTTGAGTCACAAAATGGCTCAGCCACGTTGCTGCTCCCATTCCCAACCTTCCACGGTGTAGACCAGCGAACCAAGATTTGATGCGAGATAACAGAACACACTTTGAGACTCTCCTCCATTAGAATGGTGGTTTCAGAAATGAACAAGCAATATCAGATGTGGAGGAAGGAATAACAAAAACGTGTCTCTGGTTCTGCTGCAGATTTTGAATCTTTCTTTAATGCTAAATTCATGGAGTACTTTTTTAAAAATGCATCAGTATGCTTCAAACTAAGTGCTTGCCACTGTACATAAAGACTGTACAATTTCAGTAACTTTCTGAAAGCAACAAACTGACAAGCACGTCCACTTCAGTGATTGGCCAGGTAAGCAGTGGTGAGAAAGTCTGAACATCTCTCTCAAGCACTCCTTGATCATTCTCCACACAAACTACTTGCGCCACCTGTTCTGTGCAACACCAGGAATGTCTGAGGACAGACTATCTGAAAGTGTGAGCTGTTATCCCCATTTGTACGATTCAATGCGTCGTACGAACAATCTTTGTTTCAAACATACCCCAGTCTCTGAGTGTAGAGAGAGAAAAAAGTAGGCAGGGATGGATGCGAGTTGGTTCACGCGGTACGGAGCTGTGAAGCCGGGGAACCGGCTGCAGTGAAGTGTGGCACTTGTAGCTGGGAGATATCTGTTAAGTCAATTAGAGAACATGGAATGACAAGAGAGAAAGGCAAGATTGAATCAAGAACAGAAAAACTGCTGTATAAAGACCACAAGAGAAAAACAGCTGGGTGCAAACATGTCTTTTTACAGTTAAGTCATCTTGGGTTTTCAAAAGAAAAAGTACAAGGCTGCTGGTGACTTTAAGACAGAATGAAAGTTGTCCTAGTAGAGGCATAGCAGAGGTGCTGTTGAGTTGAGCTTTTGTTGTTGCTAATGTCCCAGAGAATGACACTGCTAATGAAATACACATAATCTACAGTCTCGATCCCACCCAAAGGCCCAGCACTGCTAGCCAGGTCTTACTTAAAGGGATACTTTGAGATTTGGAAATTTAGTTTCCTGCACCACCACCAAACCCCAGCCCTGCCACCAAACCCACATGGCTTAAAAAGATGAATCCTTGGCCCTGGTCTTCCCTGGCAAGCACCAGATTCCCCTACTAATAGGACCACTTTTGTGCACATTTATTTCAGTATAGCCTGACACCCTTTTGTTTTTAAACATAGCAGCAATATTCACTTTACTTTCATCAAATATCAGGATAGCTTTCTTTTTTTGTTTATTCCATGAGCTGTTTACAAGGCTTAATATGCCACTGCTGACCATTTCTACATATTTAGGGATACTTCATTCACAAGTACAACTCTAAACCGCGAACTGTAAAGGGGGATACATCACAACATTGTTTTTATTTTAAATTTACTTTTTTGTCATGGTTAAATTTTCATAGAGAACAGGAGAATCACTGATTAAAGCCTGTAGCAACTGATAATGTAACTTTCACTAAAATGGACATCACGTTTGAAATGTTTTGTACGGTTTAAAGGCTCTGGATAATGTTCTTTTATTTCAGCTAACTAAACATGCAGACTGTCTGGTTCTTCAGTCTACGGTCTTCATTAGCAGATGCTGTTGCAACATTTATATAATGGTGTGTTTCACGAGTCGGCTGACAGAACTTCATCTACTGATAAAGACTGTGCAATACAGTCAAAAGATGGAAACAAGCCAGTAAGTGGACATTGACCGGAGACGGTTTTGTAAAAGGTCGTTTCTGAGGTCAAGAATGAAGTGTAAAGCCCAAATGCCCCAATAGCCATTCCACTGAAGCAGGGACTGCCACAGACCATCAATTGTGAACAAAAATGCTGAAGTAGTGGGCACTAGGCTTCCTCTGATAGGGAATGAATGCCTTAGATGAGGTGCGTTAGTACTGCTATTACATTATATATTAACATTCATTATGAAATGCTCAAAAAGTTTTATTACACTTTTTAGAGGTGTAGTTTGCATATTTTGACATTATCCATCGGTTGTTACATTATCAGCTGCATCAGGGCTTCAACAGATTTTTTTTTACTAAAGAAATCACTACGTCAAAAATGTATGTCTTTGCTCTCCTACCCCATCCTCTAGACTTCAGCTTCTAGAAGAATACATTACATAGTCAAAAGTATTGGGACATACTTCTTAATCATTGAATTCAGGTGTTACATTCAGTCCCATGGCCTATATATATATATATCCACCAATGCAACAAGTCAGTTTGAGAACTTTCTTCCCTGCTAGATTAATTCCACAATCAACAGTAAGTGGTATTATTATTATTATTATTATTATTATTATTATTATAAGTAGAAGTGTTTAGCGACCAAAGCTACGCAGCCACGAAGTGGCAGACCACTTCAAGTTACAGAGTGGGATCGCGATGTGCTGAGGCAAACTTGTGTGTAAAAGTCTCGCCATCACTCTGCTGACTCAATATCTGCAGAGTTCTAGACCTCCTCTGGCATTAACATCAGCACAAAAACTGCACAGGGTGCTTCATGGCAGGGGTTTCCAAGGCCAAGCAGCTCCATGCATCCCTACATCACCAAGCACAATGCCAAGTGTCGAATGGTGTGGCGTAAAGCACGTCGCCACTGGACTCTGGATCAGAGGAAACATGTTCTGTGGAGTGACATATCACACTCCTCTATCTGATCAGTCTGAGTTTGGTGAATATCAGAACGACACCTGCCCGACTACATTGTGCCAACTGTAAATTCTGGGGGAGGAGGGATAAGGCTATGGGGTTTTGTGGGACCACTTTGGGGAAGGCCCTTTTCTGTTCCAGCATGACTGTGCGCCAGTACACAAAGCAAGGTCCATAAAGGCATGGCTGGGTGAGTTTGGTGTGGAAGAACTTGACTGGCTAGCAGACAGCCCTGACCTCATTCCTATTGAACACCTTTGGGATGAACTAGAACAGACATTTCCAGCCAGGCCCTCTCATCCAACATCAGTGTCTGACCTCACAAATGCTCTTCTGGATGAATGGGCAAAAATTCCCAGACTCACTCCAACATCTTGTAGAGAGCCTATAGATTTGGGATATCATTATTATTCCTGTAGGTGTCCCAGTACTTTTGTCCATATAATGTATGTTTCAATGCATTTCCAGCAGATGTTTTATGTGTGGGCATCCCAGCAGAGAGATGCCCTAGCTAATCTGATACCCATCGATAGATTGGCACCAAGGTTTTCCACCATGGACAATGGAGGCTGCAGTTTTCTGTTCTACCTGAACAACAAAGCAGCTGATTAAACTGATCAGCACTTTGAGTTAGAGGGGAAGAACTCTTATGTGAAATTAGCTGCTGCAGAGGGTGGTGGGGTGGCTGACAACTCTTTTACTGGCTACCAAATGACGATGGGCTGGATTTGCTTCAGAGCAACATGGCACAAATTGATCAGATTCAGGCAATCCGAGGATATTTACATCCAACGACAGCTCTCACCTCAACTCAGAAAGTGAGGCGGACAACTAAGTAGCAGCACATCAACACATTATGTAACCATAAAGACAAGCAATGGAGACAGACTGACTCACCGACACCCGAATTGCCACACACATAAACCCCACAGTGGCCCAGAAGTGCACTTATTGCGGACCAATTAAGTGACTCTGTGGGATTTCTTTGAGCAATTGACTCTCTGCAGATTTGATTTACTGGATGTACTGACAGGTGAACACTTTGTGTACCTCATTATGGACTTGGTTGTGACCTGTGTACTAGAAGACAAGTGCTTTTGATGGAACTTAAATGCATGCAAATCTGTAAAATAAGATCAAATGGGTTTAGATGTATGGCAATTTCAACAACAGGTGCTATGTACACACACACTTTTATATATTCTTTTTCATAAAAAAAAGGGGGGGGGGGGGGGGGGGCAGATCCTGACTCTTATGTGTTGGTCCCTTAAGGCTTGCTAAGCTTTTACTCATATTTTTTTTTCATCTTTTGTTTTTCAGAAATGTACATTCTAGTAGAAAAAGACCTTGCCACAAAAAAAAATAAAATAATACACAATCTGGAAAAACTATGGCTTAGTAAATATCCATTTGCTATATTTAAATGAATGTACCTCATATTTGTTGATTATCCTACAAAAGAAGAAAACACTTGAAAGGTTGATTTGCGCTGCTGCGCTGTCAACGGCGCAAACACGTGAGAAGAACCAAAATAAGAAATCCAAGAGTTTACATTTATAGGGCAACATCAGTAATGTTAACAATTCTTTGTGTCTCTTTTCTAAAGCCACCGTGCGCTTCAGTAGCATCGGTTTTCCAACTAATACAGTTTGAGGTGCTGGAGCTCAGTTTCCAGACTGCTGTACAATGAGTTGTTGCTGAGGTGGTTGGGTGTTCAGGCGGGGGGGGTGGGGTTGACGAAATGGCACCAGAGTCGGCTGGGCTGTGGGGCTGTGATGTGCGGTGTGTGTCCCTTCTTGCTTTCCTTCCCTACTTCTTGGGTGTGCATAGTACGAGCTTGCTGTATGCGCCGCATGGCTCACGCAGGCCTTCTCTGACACACGCACGCACAGTGCTGCATACACACAAGAGCAAACACACTCCACAGCAGCCGACATGAGAGGAGTCGGGTTGTAAAAGCACTGGCACTTTCCGGTTACAGCTGGCTTGGAAGGCATGGTGGCAGCTAATTGTTGTTGTTGCTGCTGTTGTTGTTGTTTGTGGTTCAGCAGAGCAGAGTATAGAAAATAGACACATTTATCTACTGTATATTGCATATGTTGCAGCATGTTTGCCAAAAATGAATGAGGTCATCATGTCCAGTTTAGTTTTGCAAAAAAGATCCCCTGCCACCAAAAAGAAAATTTAAAAACACAATAAATTAAAACTGACCTGTCCGACTCCCTACCATTACAGAAGGAGACGTGGAAATGCAACAGTAACAAATGAAAAAACAGGTGCAAAATTGTTGCAGAGATGAGAGATCCTGCTTACAACTCGACTAGATGAAGAACAGATGAAGCCACTGTTTGTCTGGACCTCAGCGGGCTTACAGACTTCAGTGCCCAATGCTACTGTAATAGAACTCCAGAGTAGGGCTGCAAACAACTTCACGTCAAAGCTGTTTTCTGTGTTGAATCATCTTTACTATGAAATACTGATGATCATGGCTGAGTCACTGTCAGCTTGGAGATTAGGAGGAATTGTGTATAGCAGCCCTGACGGTCATTCTGCTGCCCCCTTTTCTAGCAGCACACCAATAACCACAAGAACAATGTGTTTAAGGTGAATGCATGAATCTGTATATTTCACAAGGCGTGTTGAACTAAATGTGCAGTGCATATTTTTTCCAAGAATGCCTTTTAGATTTTAACTCAAGCAAATGACCATTTAATCTTTTGATATTAAACTGCTTTTCTCACGCCGTGCATACGGAAGCCGAAATATATAATCATTTCAATTTTATAAGCAACCTAATATCTCATTCTAAAATGTAACCACTACTTAATGCTGAAATTTAAACACCACTAAATGTATATACTGAAACATGTAACTGTCTCATTTATGAGGTTATACATGATCATTGCTGCCAGACTGTTGGCCCAACTGAACTATGTTTTATTTGATAGGGCAGGTAAAAAGGTTCTTGAGTTGCTTGTGATAATTTAGACAATTTTTTTTACCATGTGGGCAGTTTTTCCACAATGAGTAATTTGACAGGACACGGGATTCAGTAGTCTCAAATGCAACGTCTGATAACTGATGATGGACAAAACCCACTGACATTTAGTAGATTACAACAAGGCAGGAATTTTCTGCCCTTTTATGCAGTCAACGTTGAGTTAAAGCTTCATAAAAGCTTACAACAGTTCATTTAAGTACAGATTCTTTTAACATAGTGTTATATTATTCAAAAGACTTGATGGAGATCATCTTTAAGTATTATAACCATGGTTTTGGATTTTCCTGAACTGTTGGATGGTTGATAAACCTACATCTAATGCGGGGCTACTTTTATGATGAGTGGGCAGGTTAGAAGCTGTGACTAGGCTATCTGGTGTCGCCCAACTACATGTCGACATGAACCACCGACCTTCTGATAAATTGACGACTGCTCTACCCCCTGAGCCACACTGAACTTGATAGAACAGAGGGCCAATACATTTCATTTAGGCTTGATTGCTTATCCTTGATGCCCCCATGTTCAAGTTTTAAGAATTTCAGTTGCTGACTTTCACTATCCCAATTGGACAGCCTGATTTTTTTACTTCGATCTGGAAAGGACCAAATGGGTTAGCACAACATGAGATTCTGGAAAAGATGGACAGAAAATAACAAAAAAAAAGAGCTATAAATTAAGTGGTAAAGAAATATCAACATTAACTATTCAGTAGTGGTAAAAACTTTTCCACACACCACTGCAAGGACCAGCGCTGCCTCCCAGTCCATCCCTCACTGTACTGACATATGTAAACTCCTGGAGCGGTTACCCTAAAACCATGCCACATTAGTATTGTGGATCAGTGCACATAGTTATATTTGTTAAAGAACGTATTGCGCTGATGACAGGTGGTTTGGATGACTCCAAAATCTCCATTAACACTTCTAAACACATTTGTGTTTCTGATGAGAGGACGTTTGAATTTTCACAATTCCCAACATTATTCAGAGACGTAAATGAGTAATTTGCAGCCCTACTGAAGTGTAGCTTAAATCTCTGATGTGAAGAATGACATGCTAATATACAAATGTGTTATGATGATGAAGATGTGGGGCGATGAGAGCGAAGCTCTGGCAGCTCAGAGGCCCCTCTGGTGATTGCCAGCTGCCTGTCTGGCCTTTTCTTTACCTGACGGGATCTGAGCCTTATTTGTTGGGTGTGATGAGCAGCGGACTTGAGATGGACACCAGTTGCCCCAATGAGTCTTTCAGAGACTTCATGTGATGAATGTAGCAGAGGAAGATGGAGGACGATGAGTTGGGGCTTCCTTTAATGCCCCCCTGTTATCCCCCTCAGACACAACCATCCCTCATTAGATCCATCCATCCAGCCAGTCATGTGCATATGTCTTCCCAGTGCAACACACACATACACGAACAGTTCCTCATTTTCAGGTGCGGGACTTGATCAGTTTGTCAATGAATGAGATGGGAAAAGAAAAAAAAGAGCACAAGGGGGAAAAGTCTTCACTTCCCTTCAAAACAAAGGGGAGGAACAATCGATGAATAATAATGGCGATAGTAATGCCGTAATGCTAAGGATATGGATGACAGTCAGAGTGTGTGTGTGTGTGTGTGTGTGTGTGTGTGTGTGTGTGTGTGTGTGTGTGTGTGTGTGTGTGTGTGTTGTGTGCGTGCGCGCGTTTGGTTTGTGTCTACATCTTGATTCCCTCCTGTTGGCTGAGCTGAGAGAGGGTTTTCTTGATTCGGAGAGCCGTGAGTCGGGCGGCGCTGTTGGCATACCAGCACTCTCTCATTATCTTCGCCATCACCCGCAAGGCCTGCAGAGGAGAGAGACAACAAAGGTTAATATGACTTAATTACTACAGGATGTTGGAACAGTCTGAGGTCTTGGGAAATCCATCTATCTGCTGTACAAAAATACAACAGCTGTGGACTTGGTGGGCAGTGTAGCACTTTCCATTTCTGTTTTTGAGTTAAGCTGGGCTACACCCATATTTTTAGGGAGGTGATAGATTGTTCTTCAAGACAAACTCCAGATGTCACCATGATGTGGTGGTCCCATTATATTTGTATCTACATGTTTCTGTGATACCTGTCAGTTGGACTGTCTTTTAGCTTTCTAACATGAATATATTCAGCTTTATATATTTGTGAATCCTTGCGATGCGTCTCTAATTTGTTACTCTACACAAGTCTGGTCTGTTCTGGTGAACAGAACGCGATTTACATATTTATCTGGATCCTCATTAGCTGTCACCAGAACAGCAGCTGCTTTTCCCAGGGTCCAAAGAACTGAAACTGTGTCTCATTACTCATGGCTCCATCATGGAATTGATGATTCTGTGGATGATAACTGATCCCCTTAGGTATTCAGTTATTTGTAGCCTTCCAGAAACCAGGCAATACAGACATTAATAAATATTGGAAGAGCAGACTTTACTTACACCATCATTAGGAGTAGGTGCAGGTAACAACAGCTTCTATCACCCAGTGCTTTAAGTGTCATCTAAACTATTTCAATTCTTTACAACAATCCATTTTGCTGTGAACTGGAAGGTTTTACCGAATACAGTCAGATCACAACTGTCTCTGTAGTCTTTCTTTTGGAATGCATTCCACGCCATAAAGTTTTTACATGACTTAAATCCTGCGGCTCGAGACTCATGCCTTCTGATTGAAGAGAAGGTATGAAATTAGTGAAAATAAAGTCATTTCACAGCTGTATCCTGACACCTATCCCTGCTTCTGTTAGCGAGTTAAAAAACAGACAAAATATGCCTCGGTCCATTTTCAGTCTGTTATTTTCCAGTTTTTCTAACTTAATCAAGGATTTGTTTGTTCTGGAAAATGAGGGTGACTAACTTTTTCCCAAAGAAAGTCTCTCCTCACTAAAGTGGTGACTTCCGACTAGACACTGAAAATGAGCCTCCAGAGTTTACACCAATTCCTTCACATCTCTGTTGGTGGGGCTGTAAACAGCATCTGGTATGTATGAGTCAATGTCTGTATGTGTCTCTCTCAGTGTTTGTCTGGTGAGATGCTAGTGCTCCATCTACCAACTTCCTCCAGTGCTCATTAAGACAGCCGACACATTCCAGCCCTTTATTCATCAAGTGGATTAGTGCCAACTCTACACTGCCACGGACAAGCAAGCTGCCGCACGCACGCCTTCTCCTTCAGCAGAGCTAGCTGAAGCTCCTTTCCTATATAAAGGTTTTCAGATATACAAATGCTTCCAGGCACGGCTTAATTTACTTTAATCTGCTACTCTGATATATGGGCTGAACAGTACAATGGTGAGCCAACTGAAGAAATCTCTCCTGGGAATGCCACTGTTAAAACCAATGCCTTGAACAGCAACACCTCTGCAAGACTCGACTCTGAATGTGTAGTTCTTATGCGACATTCAGACCAACCGCGAATTTTCGCCTCACGACGCTGTCCTCGCGTGAGTACATGTGTTCTCACACACACACACACACACACACACCGCGAGAAGGCAATTTTAAGGCGATAACGTGAATAAACACAACTCGCCTTTACCACAACTGTATGAACCCAAAGTAAACATTTTGTTGTGATTAAATAGCAATAAACTAATTAAACTGATGCCGAAATAACTACAACATGATAAAGATTTGTTAAACATATGAATTCATGCTTTGTCAGGTCTGTCAGCAAGACAGCAGGACAACAACTTTTAAAATGTTTGTTTTCTGAATGGAGTTTGGATCGATCAGGGCTATGCTAACTTGGTCACAGTAAAGTACAACGATTGCTGGAATAAAGTTACAGACTGATGTTTTCCGAACTCACCAGGTAGTTCAACCTCCTCGCTTTCTTTTCTCCCAGCAATGTCCAGTTTTGTCCGTTTTTTATATAAATATGAAGTCGTAATCCAACAGAGCTGACGACGCTAACAACAACAACACTGGAACTGGATGTGCACGGAAGCTAGCTGCTGAGAAGCCCCAGTGAAGATAAATCAATGTTGAAATCCCAAAAACGAAAAGTAAGGAGCTAATTTAATAAAAGCAGTTTACTCCGAGCTCCTCCCGCGAGTAAACTGTGTAGCTGTCAGACCAGAAGCATTATTGCTCACACTACTTTGACATGGAAATGATGCATATGGGGGAATATGTGCAGTATGTATAGAAGTGTTGGCATGCTTATAATGTCTAGTGTGGGAATTATGAAAGCTATGCAGCAGAAAAACTAAACATAACTCATATTTAGTTTTTCAACTGTTGTGGTGTATGCCTGTGAGGGTATTCTGTATATTTATATATGTGGGGGCATAGATAAGTTGAGGGGAAAGTTCAGTTAAATCAAAATTGTCAAAATGCACAAGAGAGACCTCAGTCCAGAAGACAGACAGAACAAGAGGACATACAGCATCAGAGACAGTTCAGATCTGGTGACAGACAAAGGCCGTAGCATTTTATTCACATCATTTTCTTCCTCACCAAACTGCTCAGTGAGCCCTGCCGCACCAAGCATCTGTTGACACTCGTTTTTCAGCTTTTTTATTTAATCCCCCCCCCCCCCCAGGTGTGTGTGTCTATATATATCTCTATCTCTCTATCTATATATATCTATATCTCTATCTATCTATAAAAAAAACTGTATCTATGTATTTGCCTGTTATTCTTATGAAGTTGACAAAAACTGAAATAAATTGTTATTAACAAAACTCTGATTACATATTTTCGTCCAGCAAGTAGCAGAAGCTATGGATTGTGTTTGTCCCTTTGTGTGTTTGTCTGATCCCAACAGGCCAATCAGCTTTGAGCAAGTCTGCTCAACAGTGTAGCGGGTACAAGTTCTCTGTGTAGAGATTACAAGGCCTTGGAGTTGTCAGCACTTTACAGAGTTCTTTCTTGTTAAAAGAATGCAACATTTGGTTGCTCTATTCTCATAAACCAATTACTTTACATGACAGGTGCTGATTACACTTTTGGCTCGTGTAGCTCATTAAGACAGATTTTCTTGCACAAGGCCACACTTGTTTTAGTGCATCACAGTCCTACAGCTGATAGCGTTTCCCGTCCGACCCCTTTCTGTTGAAAGTTAAAAATATTTCGCGAAATTCAACTCTGGGGACCTTCAGTTTGGTCAAACATTCAGAGTTGGAGTTGCACACCAGCACTCTCCATCACCCATTTCTGCTGCAGTAGATTGAGCTGGCTTTAAAAACACCCCTGGGTCTGCAAATGTAGTCCGTCTAGTTTCAGCTTGCTACACCTGTTTGTCTGTCTGGATGGGTATCATTGTTGCTAGTCTGTGGTTAATTGTGCAACACTCTTCTGTGAACATGAGTGGCTCTTTCTGTGTGTGTGATGCATGTCAGTTAATCTATACATCCCAGGAGATAATATTGACGTGCAGAGGTTGGCCTGAAGATCACATGGTCTGCAAACTCAACAGATGTTTACATTTCTGGAGAGTAAATGCACATAGCACATTGCATGCTAATCCAACCAGGAGTTTATTAGAAGTGCTGGTTACAGAAGGTTTTGCCTGATGATGGCGTGAATGTGCACAGCAGCTTTCATGCCATTACTCTGTGGGCTGTGTGTTGGTCACAGACAGATGTCCATTGAGGCCCAGGCCCACTGAGGTTGTGAAATGACGAGCTGCTCAAAGTTTACTGACCTGTTCAATACTAGGGGTGGAGCACAAAGCTAAAAATGTGGGTGGGGGCATTGAGAGCAACAGAAAACCAAAGTCAAATTCCTTGTATGTGTACACACATGGTAACGGTGATTTTGATTAATGTCAGAATGTCATTAGGCTATGTTGCATTATTTTCTTTAAACTGGAGCTTGTGTATTGAATAAGATGAGGCCCAGATAAAGATCACGTTGGTACAAAGTGTGTCTGGTACTATGAGAAATGAGAGGCAGAATTTGACAATATTTAATAATTAAAATTAAAAAAGCAGCATTGGGTAGGTCTTCAACATCACTTCCTGTGTCCCCTATATGAGGCTACAGAGCACCTGTTAACTATACCTTATCCAAAGAAGGTTAAAGTCAAGGGCAACTGGACTTGAAGATACTAGAAGATGTTTTGGCCCCCATCCAGAGGACTTCTTCAGTTCTGACTGACTGGTAGGGAAAATTAGGCCCCATCCACACTACTCTGTTTAAGTTTACAAACTGAGAATTAAAACGAATACGATCTCCGTCCACACCAGTGTTTCCGCTGCGTTTTGGAGGTGATCGCTGTCTACATTAAAACGAGTGAAAAACGCACAGCTAGGACCCGTTCAGGTACACTGGGCATGTGCATGCCAGTGTAAACATGAAGCAGACGGTCTGTTCCGTAGTTACAGAAGATTTGGCGAAAGAATAAATAAATACAGACTAAGCATCAGACCGTTTTTTTTGTTGTTGTTGCATGGCTCAATAACGAGCTGGGACGGTTACTGAATGTAACACGGGAGTGTGGCGGCAGAAAACAGACAGGGAGTTGTTGCAAAGTAAACGGCAACATGCACAGTACAAGTGTAGGCAGATGAGTGTTATTTGCACGGTACAGAATATTTTAATAAAAATATGATGTCAAAAACCCGGCCAACAGCATCGTGTTTCTGCTTTGCAAGACCCAATCAGAGAGCCGTGCGCGACCGGCTGCGTCATCGTTTCTAAAGTCCTCCGTTGTGGCCCGTCTTCACTAAAACACTCTCCGGAGTTTTGAAACGCAAAACGGGGTCTGCAGAGTTTCCAAACTTCTCCGTTTTAGGTCTTTGTTTTCGGCGTTGTAGTCTGGACGGGAGGTGCAGGTAATTCAAAAACGCAATAGTGTGGATGGGGCCTAAGCAATTTACCCTCAATTTACCCTGCGTGAAAACTTTACTTAAATCACATGATGAGTGTCACACAGAGCTTTCTTACTGTTGCCAGTAGGTGGTGCTGCAACTACAACTGAATTTTAGCATGTAGATGTGTTTGGGTTTTCCACGAAAACTCACCGTTTCGCTAGGAGTTGTTCATTAAAAGTACAACGTGTGTAAATTGCCAAAAATTAAATCTAAAATGGCAGACTTCCTGTTGTGTGTTGGACATCGCTCCAAGAGGCTTTTTTGCACGTCTGGATATGATACACGTACCACTAGGGATGGGGATTGAGACCCGGTTCCAAAATTTCTCAAAACCCGAAAATCAATAAGGTACGAACTTATCGATACTGCTATCGAGACTTGCTATGATGTAACGTTAAGTGTCGGGCGTCAAATGTGATTTAATTTGAAATGCAATGGATAAGAAAATCATCAGGGTACAGTCTCTGCCTGCTCTCTGTCGGTTCCTACCATAGACTGTATATAAAAAGGTTATTCTTTCTAACGTTACTCACTAACATTACTTGTGATGTCAGATAAAGTTACTTTGCTGTTGTAAACATTAACGTTGCTGCTCTAGAAACAACATTTAGCGGTATTTAAAATATTAAATTAAAAACAATATTAATTAATATGTACGATTCAATGTTTATTTATCGCAAATGATACGCCATCTCAATATACAACGTTATCGCACATTGAATGTTTTCCTCATACCCTGCAGGCATACTCTGTGGGGTCTGGTCTTACCAAATAACCATCACTAAATAATAGTGAAGTATAATTAGTGGTATCGATAAAGAATCGGATCGTTAAGCTGTCTCAATAAAGGTATCAATATCAATAAAAATTAACAATCCCCATCGCTACGTACCACAGAAAATTCATACATGTAGGTGAAACTTTGGCCGTGGACTACTCTGTAGGGAGCGCTAGCGAGCCATTTTTTCACGCCCATGTGCGAGACCCATAAAAAACACAATTAATTCTTCGCCCCACCTGATGAGTGTGACTCATTCCTTCAGTTTGAATAATTTCCTCACACGTTTCATGCTCAGGTCCTAAAAATAAGAAAGGGGGTCCAATCGGATGAGGTCCTGTTTGCACTGTACCAGTGGATATATGGATAAGAATGAACTGGATTTGAAACTAAAGATAGTTAAGAAAGTTCCTGATAATAAACAAAACGAAGGAATTTGATAATCTGACGTTATAAGGAGCACCTAGTTAGTATGATTTCTAAGCATTTGACTAAGTTGTGATTCTTGAGTTTGAGGCAAATTGTGTCACTAGGGAGACAGGTTAGAGGTTACCTAAAAATATGAAAAAATTATTTCCGATGCTGTTCACATCAGTTCGGAGCACACTTATTCATATTCTGCTACATCCCTAGTCAACCATTTGTATAGAATATTGGCAGAAAACAACAGTATCATGCTGTAGCTCTGAGTCTGAGATGGAAAGGATTAAACATGGAGGAACAAGCGTTCATTGTTTAAATTGTAATCAAAAGGTAGTGATGTTGCTAAGCTGTCTGTAGAAACAACCTCTACAGAGAAACAAACTCCAGGTCCCTTAAATCTATATGCCTTTGGCGCAGAAGCTTTGCTTGCTTTGAGGGAAATTTCTCAGGATCGTCTCTGGGACAGAGGTGTGGGAATAGGATTGTTATGGTACAAACAAGCCTTGTGTATTAAAACAGTGACCACTGAGTTTGACCCCTAAAAGAAGACTGATTCATTCCAGATCACAAATGTTACAGCTGATGATGATGAGCATTTATTTCCAGTGTGTGTGGGAAACAGGATTGGCTGTTTTTAAGTATAATTTAAGCTTACGTGCAATGAGATAACTTCTGTTGTGAATTGGTGCTATAAAAATAAAACTGAATTGGATTATAAGAGTCTGTATTTATGAAGAAGTTTGTTTTAAACAGCAAATAGCTGGAGACTGTGGTTCAGTCTGACTGAAAGCAAACTGACTAGAGCTGGACCAACCACCATGCAATTTAACTGTGCAATAGTATTTGTGTAGACAAGAAAGTGGACTTTTTTGGGGGGGGTACAGCTAAGGAACAGAGCTACGGCTACTTCTCTGCAGAGCTAGTGTTTACCCATGTTGGACCCTATCCAATAGTTTCTAACCATTAGCTGTAGCAGTGTTCTGGAGATGAACTCCAGGGCTTCCAGGTTCAGACTTACAGATAGAAACAACTGGTCTACCTGGGCTGAATAACAAATTCTGACTTCTACCTATATTTTCAAATAAAGCCAGAGGACTGTGTCACAACTCGCATAATTCTTTGGTGGCTGTAAAAATGAATGATAATGTTGTCACAGAGTCAGCTACATTTAGGAAAATTGGCACCATTAAAATTAGATGAATTAGTTATAAGCAGCTCTTGTTAGGAGTGTATCCACAGGTGTGCCGACAGGCATCACTGGATTACTGAAGAAAACTTAAAAACCGTGATGTCACTCTGAATTTAGAAATATGTGTATCCTGTCTGTGTGTACAGATCTGAGTTATGACTCAGGTAAGCGGTGTGAACACTGCACTTCCTTCGTCCCTTTAACCTCACACAGTGTCTCTGCCTCATGTCTACATCCACATCCCTGTAAACCCTCTGAAAAGTGAGTTAGACTCAGAGACAGCGACACTTGTCCTACCTCACAGCTCTGCCAGCGGTTGGGAATGTTGGGCCGAAGCTTCTGCTCACAAACCACCTTCCTCATCTCCTCCACTGATGGATCTGACTGAACCAGGTCGTAGTAGGGCAGCTGGTAGTCCTCATGGATACCTGACAGAAAAATATGTAAATACTCCGGCTTTATATTGAAGCAGTCAGATCTATAAACATACCTGTGTGTCAATATTTCCATAATTAACTCACTTACTATTTTGCTCCATTCATCCATCACTCCCTACATTAATCTGTCAACCTCGCCTTCGTTGACCCACCCGCCTGTCATTTGATCCTCACCTCCCATAGAGCAGCGGCTGGCAATCTCCCAGAAGACAAGGCCCATGGCGTAGATGTCAGCTCGCTTGAAAGACTCAAAGTGTTTCATGTTTATGGAGTCGTCCAGGACCTCTGGTGCCATATACCTAAGCAGAAAGATAATGGACTGTAACCAAACTATTTCAGAATCATTTTTATTGACCAGGTACATGTACACATACAAGGAATTTGACTCTGGTTGAACTTTGCTCTAAATGTACATACATAACACAGATAAGCATAATTAAACAGGACAATAAGCATAACAAAACAGACAAAATAATACTAGGGTGCTGCAAAATAAACCCGAAAACCTCAAAAAACTGCCCACATCAAATTGGCTGACGTTTTGAATCTCTGCTCACACAGAAACCAGATAAATCCATGAAAAGTAAACCTGTGGGCACCGATATGCACACAGTCTCTGATGAGCTATAATGAGATGGATCAGAGTGATCAAATAACTCCCACTCTGGGCATAAGACAACAAGTCTTCATTGAATTATTTAACTGAGTGGTGGACAAATAATGAATGGAGGGCATCTGATAGCTAACTGCTGCTGCTTCAGATAAATTAGAAGAGTAAAACATCATGCAGAAAACAAAACACCTTCATCAATATTTGCAGAGAAACTCAGAGAAAGTGTAATTATGTATCAAATTTAAAAAGCAAGCTCAATATCAAACAACAACATCAATATTAAAACAACAACAACAAAAACACACCCACAGAATGCATCTGAATCTCAGTCCGTAGAGAGGCTTTTATGTTAAAAAGATAACACGGCCAAATATATCAAGTTTAGTGTTTAACCTTGAAGAAACAGTCTCTCTGGTTAATGGGATTCTGGGAATCAGAGACACACTGCTGCTCACAACTGTACTGTTCATACTGTGTTTCTTCACCAACATCTTTGCTTTCACACCACAAATAAACCTCAAAATCATGTGCTACCAAAGTCCCTCTGGTAGCACACTGAGGTGCCTTTACACCTAACCGGTTTGCTTTGGTTAAAACAAATCCCTGGTACTTTTGCACAGTCAGCATGGTTTGTTTGGGCTGATGTGAAAGCTGTCAATCGAACCCCGGTATCAAACAAACAAACCACAGTATTTTATGATAGCAGATATGTTGTTTTAGCATTTAAAAAACCAAACCGTTAATAAATCCATCTACTGATTGTGAAATGTGTTTAGGAAGAGATCCTATATTTGATCTGTATAAGCCATGTACATATTTATGCAAATCATTTGGTAACCACGTACTGTTTGCATGTTATCATGTATGCATGATGCTGTAAAAATGACAATTCGCTGTTCTACCATTTAGACAGGGAGCAGTTGCCAGGCAACCAGTGAAGACGCCAAGAAGTTATTGATCCTGGCAAAGAAATACTAAAATGGCAAATTGACGTTTCAAAAATCAAAGCTGAACTATCACGCTCACATATTTTGCAATATTAGAGTCATTACTTGAGTAATGTTACATAATAAGTATTAGTTAACATCACTACAAGTTACTGGTCACACCAGACCAAGTAAGTCATAGCAGCTAAACCCCTGAATGAGCAACTTTTATTAATCCAACAAAATCCTGCTAAAGGTCAGTAATGTGACTTTTATTCAGAGGCTGATAAAATGCTACAGTGTTACAGCAGACACACAAAAAAACAAGTATATATTACTTCCTCTCTTTCTGCCCAGCTAATAATTCCTCAGAATTCTTTTCCTTTGTGTGTCTCTGTCCACACATCTCTTGTTATGTAGACCTGTATAGCTGTAGGGTTGGAAAGTGAGCAGCACACTAAGGCCATAGAGGGCACTCCTTCCCTTCCTCCTTCCCACAGTCAGACCTGCTCTGCTTTTCTCTCCCTCTTTTTTGTGGTTTGATGCTGCCGGCGTATTACAGTGCCACTAAATGATTCAGTAAGCCTCAGGGCTGAAATCCACGTTACATATAGATCTGATCCCACTAACTTCCAGCAAAGAATCAGTCCATGCTAAAAGTAAGACGTTGGATAACGTGTTGCTTGGTGTGAAATGTGAAAGTTCAGCTCTCTCTCTATGAACCACCACTGACATTTATTCAATCTAGAATGACGAACCAGCATACGTATATGAGGTTAGTGTCTCCAACTCTTGTTTTTGCATGCATGTTCTGATTTTTTATTAAAAACAAGGAAATGTCTAGGGCTGTCACAACCATCACATTTGAGTTGATGACTAAGTGACATACAAATAGTTGTGATTAATGATTTAATTGTCACTTTTGTTGACAAAGTAGTATCAGTTAATCTTCAAATGTTTTCTTTTGAAACAATTTTTCGCCTCTCGCTCTGCTGCACACGGTTTAAACGTAGTAGCGGAGACTCCATTATAAACGTACATTTTTTTGCGGTGTGGTTACCATCAGTATGTTTCACCTAAGGCTGCAATTAATGCATTGATTTCATTTTCATTATCAAACAGTTTGATCATTATGCTCTTTATTCATCGATTATTCATTGTGTCTGTAAATGTCAGACAAAGGTAACTTACAATTTCCCAGAATCCAATGTAAAATATATTTAAATGTTTTGTTTTGTCTCACCAACAGTGTAATACCCAAAGACATTAAGTCAACTAGCATAAAGACCAATATCACCAACAAATACGAACATATGGGAAGCTGAAATTAATCAATTGTTAAAATTGTTGCAGATCAACACTGCTAGTTTGAGCACCAAGTGAGACAAGGGTAGCCAAAAGTGACAAGATGATTGATCTGAACCAATCCTGAAGTCCTGATAAACCTGAGAGCTGAAATAGAGTCGGCTCTTTGAGTCTGAAGAGTGGAGGCAGAAAGCCTGACACTCTAATGGTCCGACTTTTTATTTACACCCCCAGTTCACTGTGGTGCTGTGAAACACACTCACTCACAATGACAACATCACGCCTGCTTACACAGTGAAGCAGAGGTGAGTTTATCCCAAAAGGATGCTCATGTCATAATGAAAGATAGCCAAAGAACCTAAATGGCCGAGCCAGAGAATCCCAGTTACCCCCTGACAGAACCACAGCGGAGACAGAACAAGATGGATGAGTGAATGCCCAATCTTTAGTTAACTGCTTCAAAGAAATAAAAACTGCTGGCATTTTAAAGGTCTGTGCAGAATACCTTTTGGTTCCCACTCTGTGGTTGGGAGCTATGTCAATGGTGTCGGTGGCTGAGTCATGGCGGACGGCTAGACCCAGGTCAGCGATGCAGCAAGTCCCGTTCTTCTTGACCAGAATGTTCTTTGACTTCAGGTCTCTGTGGGCAATAGCTGGCTTACCTGGAGACAACAAAATATATATTTAGATACAGTGAAGTCAACAAGTTTGCTTTGAACCCATCCAAAATCCAGATTTAATACACTTTTATTTGAGTCTGTGAGGGGCAGCTGCCTTGCGTAGAACACGCAGCTCTCTCCTTCAGTTAAAGGGAGCCAGCCCAGTGTCGACCCCTCAAATACATACAAGTGCACATTCCGGGAACATTAATGCTATATTTGTACCTGTGTTAACCTGTGATGAATTTCCTGCTTTGATAACTTGCAGAGTCTGTGTTATTTACAAACCGTTCTACAGTGCTTCTGGTAAGCCTTTAAATGTATTAATCCTGTACTCCACCTTAAATTCATTAACATTAAGAGCATGCCCCAACCAACAGCATGTTGAGCCTCCTTTCTTGCTGTCGCTATACTATACTATATATTTCAGTGAAAGTTTCATGTCACTTCAGCTGCTTCTATCCCAGGGGACGGACCCTGCAGTTATCCACACAGGTCACTTACTGATGTAGTTTCACTTCAATACTATGCGCCTTGGACAGATGGATGCATTTACAACTTTACAGCTTTTGGCTGCAATGTGTCTTAGAATGTGTTTCTTGGATGCATTTACCCTTTTTGATAACAGATCGTTAAACCATCCACCCAAGACACATTAAGTGTCTTTGGGCCACAGACGGACGTTTCCTTTGACAAAAAGCATCGTCTCTGTCCACACTTAGAGGAGTTCCAGCCTTTTCTGCTGACACTCTACTTAGCGTACAGCCTTCCATCTCAGAAGAACCTCAAACTTTACCTCGAGCTGATACGTTTCCAAATCAAGTTGACGCGTCTTCACCTCAACTTGCTTTGTTGTTTCATGCTGCCTCGGAGTATTGCTTCTTGGTGTAAAATGAAACTGAACAGCAGCATTCACCACTTCAGAGATTGTGTCCACTTAAGGTCTTTGTTAAGGTGACATCTTCATGAGGACGTTTTATATGGAAGGCATGTTACGCTTCAGTTTAATTTTTATTAACATATGAATCTGCATGTGAAATAAGGTAACGTATGTTATTCATTAAGTAGGGTGTATAATTTAACACAAGAAAACATTTATATAAAATTATTCATTGTGAAAATAAAAACAGTTTTTGCACGTATATGAAAAGTATCCCCAGGAAGGCATGCAGTAAATGTAAAAGTGTGTGTCTCACCCTGTGTGCCCACTATTTCCATGTGGAGGTGGGCGAGGCCGCTGGCTGTGGACAGGGACAGCTTGATCATGCCCTCCACAGTGACGGTGTAGCGGTTCAGGTAGTCAAACAGGGAACCGTGTTCATGGTAATCAGACACTAGCCACAGCTGAGTCCACGTTCCGTTATCTACACACAGACAGGAAGAAGGAGCAAGGAGATAAATGGTGTAAGATAAAAATGGCTTTGTCCTTGTTCTGCTCTTGGAGGAAGAACTTGCCTCCACTAGAGCCTGACTGATTTAATCTTATGACATAGTCCCTACATGTCTTAGTTCTGCATGCCATATGTTCATTTCAGAGTAATTTACGTGGCTGCTCACTCTATGCCATCAATTTCCATGTGAGTAGTACTATACACGTTTTGGGATGGTGTTCATGAGAAAAAGACTTTGCTTTTCAAAACAAAAATACCTGTATATGAACAGACAGACAGAAGAGATGTGAGAACCACATTTAATCTGACTTTCTGAACGTGAACTGTCATGTAAAACTCGACTAAACAAAGACAATTTTCATGATTATTGTTACTTGTCTTGTCTCTCTTTTTAAAGAAGTACATTCTGAGATTTTCCTACTGGAGTTCCCGTAATGCTTTGAGGGAAGAGAAAAAGAAATATAATTCTGCCGTGGAGATGGGGTGCAGGTTAACCTAATTTTTTTTAATCAAACATCAAACTGGAAAGAATGAGTTACCCTGATTCCAGCTATTTATGTTTGATGTGTGTGTGTTTTTTTGATTGATTTGACTGAGTCATGAAGAAGGAGGTGTGTGAGTTTTGAAGCAAACTGCATCAATCAGGATTAAAATTAAAATGTTTTGTCTAAATGTGGTTTGAGGTTTTTTGCAGATGGTATTAAAAAGAAAATTCTATCTACTCATTATAGTGAAGTGTGTTTGTGTAGACACACACAGAACAAGACACCATAACTATATCCTGGGTGCGGTTTGTGAAAAAAACAAAAAACAGAGGGGGGGATTTTTTTTCTTCTTTATGAAAGTCCATTTTGTTTTGTTGTGATCCGTTGCATCTCTAGTGAAGTAGCATTTATCACTCTGAGGGGGGGATACATTTTGTCCCCACCGGGGATAAAAATTATATAGCAGAGGCAGGGATATACAAACCAGAAAGGGGGAAATCCCACGCATCCACCCCGCAAATCGCACCCCGACTATATCATATCCTGCATACACATATAGGCCGCAAACTGCAGAGCCTCTTATCAGTGAAATTGTAATGAACACACAAAATCCATTTGCTCCTGGGCTCCTGTGCGAGTGTGTGTTACTGTTAGACTGTGTGGTACTGTCTGCTTGGCCTTCACTGTGAACTGTTCCTCCCCCACACTGTCTACCAGCCTGTCTATTCACAGCGAACGCTCGCCTGCACCAACCTCACCTTTAACAGAGCTGCTTTTCTGTTTCGACAGCTCAAGGTTCACTATTGTCTTTCTGACACTGTCACTATTCACCCACACTGTCATTTGCATATGATAAGCTTAGTCTGATGAAGATGTAATTTACAAAGGTTTGGAATTTATACAAATCAAAACTGATTTCTTTGATGGCCTCACAATTATGTAATGGGGTTTCTTTGTGTTTCCATTCATGTCTTTGTACAAAGTTATTCCTGTCTGTCCTGCTGGCCCTAGTCTGATTTCTATTCTATTCTTCCATACTGTATGCTAACCCTTATCCTTTCCACACAGGTATTTGTGCAGTCTTATCTTACTACGGCCTCTCAGAGCTCTTCTGGAGGTTTCTCACCTTTGTTATCAGCAGCGATGAAGCCCAGAATGTTCTCATGTCTCAGCATGACAGTCTGGTAGATCTCAGCCTCACGGAACCAGGAGCGCTCCTCGCGGGAAGAGAAGATCTTCACAGCCACCTCCTCACCACGCCATTTACCCCGCCATACCTCCCCAAAACGCCCTTTCCCAATGCTTTCCTGGAGGATGATGGTCCTGGCGATGGTCCTCTGGACCAGCAGCGGCAGGCCTGGTGAGAAGCAGACAGGAATATGTATATATAGATTTTATTGCTTCACCTATTTTTAATATGCTTAATGTCCTAGTTTTGTTTGCTTTAGAAATTCAGTGTTTTTATTGTCCAGCCTGTGGTTCAGAGCCAGACCTGTCTGAACTGCTATCTTAAAGAGGGACTTAACTTACTTAACTCTGAATCTACTTTTTTTAATTTAGTGATTTATATGTACAGTCACTTAAACTATCCTGCTTCAATTGATCCACAGATGTTCTGGTGGGAAAATGCTCCACTCTTTTTGCCACTGTTTGTCATTTACATGAGTGCTTTATCTTAATTACATTTACAATAACCATAACTCTGTGGCACCACACACATATTCTGACTCAAAGTAATTTAAACAGCCCACACAGTTATGCAAACACACAAGAGCTCACATATATTGTACCAATCTCTCTCACACACACACACACAATTGCGTATTGTGCAATATAATGTAAATAGCTAGAAAAACTGAATCCCAGTTTTTCCTTGGCAGCATGTTGGTGTCAGTCTCCACAGAGAGGTGCTAAAATATGGCTAGCATAGAGAACAGCTTCTGCCAGTGAGTGTGTGTTTATGCAGCCTGAATGTGGGCCAGCCAGACATTGTAAGAGACTCATACTTCAAGATGTGCTGCTGTACATGTGTGCACACACGCGACTGGGTATGATATTTTAGGTATTTTTTGCCCAGGCTAGGGTTTAAGCGGTTTTTAACAGAAAGCTTTTGAAAGTAAGAAAAAAAATCATCCACTTAACATTCAACAGTGTTTCTCACAGAATGGTACCATAACTGTGGCTAATTAAAAAAAAAATTGAAAATCAATATGTGGCGGTCAGCGTTGATAATTATCCCATACATTGATTTATTTGTGGGCCGCGACAAATAAATCAATGTATGTGAAACACTGGTTTCACTACCACGCCCCTTCAAGCCCAGAGAAAGCAGTCTCTGACTTTTTAACTATCATATTCATAACAGCAGCCAGGAGTGTGTTTTTTATAGGTTTAACGTTTCTTTACGCCACCGGCTGAAATAAAAAAATAAAGCAAGTAAATCCCGACTTTTGAACTACTGTTTTTCTGCACATGGAGCCTGTTTATAAGAGCAATAGGCTATTCAGTATTTTTACATAACGTTACGTAACGCCACCCTCTCCCAACGAGTTCAAGCATCACTGACAGCTGCCGGAGTTTCTTTCTGTAAGTTTCATGATGCTGCTGATTTAGCAGATGCATCAGATTCAATAAAGTAAATGTAGAAATGTTCGCGGTTGAAAGCTTTTTGCTCATCGCACAGAGTTTACAATAGACAACAATGTTCTTTGCATCTTAGACTGTGTTTCTCTCCCTCGTTCTCCATTCTTCCTTTAGTTTTTGGCTAGCAGCTGACACGAACAACCAAGTCTGTTGTCGCGCATTCACGTCAAGGACGGTGCGTTCAGTAACGCAATAACACAGCGTTACTTGGATTAGTAACTGTAATAATATAACTGTTTTCGAAAAGTAATCAGTTACACTACTAGTTACTGGGAAAAGTAATAACGTTACTGAGTAACACGTTATCCTGTGTAATTGTAAACACACAAACACCTAATGTGAAACAAATCAAAGTGATGCACAAACATAGTCCTTGTAATTTCCTTTAGTGGACCTGTAGCTCACACTGTAAGCTGGACTAAGTAGTAAAGTTATAGTTTGACCTTTAAATGTCAGAAACACACATTGTGAATGAATCACAGCAAATACAAAGTAGCATCCTCAGTCATTACTAAAATATATTAAAGAGGTGGTATTATGGTTTTTTGGCTTTTTCCCCTCTCCTTTATCCTTCCCATCTCCCACAAAACTCTGCTCTGAACTGCTTGAAAACAGCTCATTTGTAGTCCAACTTTTACTTCCCTTTCTTGTGACGTCACAATGAAAATACGTGTCATAATGCTCCCTGAGCGGCTAGTCCGACACGCCCTCAAAAACACTAACTGAACACTAACTACCCTCCAGGCAGTCAGTTGACATAAAGTTGTTACTGTGATGTAGAGACAGAGCTCAGTTCAAACTCACTACTCTGAAACTCTTGCTCCAGTGCAAATTGCCAACCTGGTCGGCAACATGTTGCATGTGCAACTCCCAACAAAGATCATTTAGAGACAAGATGTATCACTCCACAGCTAAAACAAAGTCTTCAACACACAGGGTGAAAAGAGGAGCTGCAGCAATGTGCAGTATGACAAAAAATATGGTGTTTTTTGAAAATTAAACCATGTAAACCTGTTCTGGTACAACCCCCAAATAAGATTTTGAACGTGAAAATTAGCATAATACCACCTCTTTAAATAGAGCTTATTCCACAACTCACAAAGACTTTTTTATTTCCTGGCCTAGCACAGTCACTTCCTGGATTCCAGCCAGTGACTGTGCATGGCCACAAAATAGTCCAGCACACGATCGCCCGTAACTACAAACAGTGTACTTTTTACACTCACTTTTTGTATGGATTAAACAAACTAGATAGAATGTGTTAATAAGTGAGCTTTAGAGGTACTGGTGGTATAGTTCCCCCTGCTTACTGTCTTTAATGCTAAGCTAATGTAACCAGCTGCTGGGGGGCACTCTGATAGCAGCCCTGCTACAGACCGTTTTTTCCATTGTTAAGAAGCAATCGGTTGGTAAAAGACATGGTACTGATATGAAAATGAGAGATTCTAAGCATGACTTACTAAAATATATCACGATAACATTTTTGACATATTGCCCAGCTCTACTCCACCCCCAACAACAGTAGTTAGATGTTACAGTTCCTGCAGAACACATATGGGCTAACTGCAGGCAGTTCAAAATAAATCTGAGCTGAGAAACAGACTGTCCAGGAAAACCAGGACCTTGGGGTGCAGCATTGTACCTGATCCAGAGCCCGAGGTGGTCATGTCATAGATGAGGTCCTTCAGAGTTGTTCCAACAGTGATGAAGGGGTGGTCCATGGAAGGGTCCTCTTCGTTGGGCACCCGATGGTGGTGGTGATGATGGGCCCCAGCACCTCCGGCCCCCAGACCCCTGTGGCTGTGGCAAACATAGAACGCCAAGACCAGCAGCAGGCAAAGCACACACACCGGGCCAGCAATCACTGCTGCGAGGGCCACGGGGCCCAGAGGTGGAGTCTTTACTGTGGGGACTGCAGCACGGAAAGGAGACAGACACAGTAGATTACAACATATGACAGACCACAGATCAAAAGGTATGACCTGAGAGTATAGTGGGTTATATCTGGCTTTAAGATCAACACACAGGCAAAATTGATCAACATGTGAGAGATCAAATGAGACCGTAAACTGCTCGAAGGGTGGCATGGCTGGCAAGTGGCAGGGCTAGAGTGCTAGCCATGAGCCAGGAAGCCAACGGGCCAAACGGTGCGGGGGCACATTCCATCTGCTCGGTGATGGGAGATTTGGCCTGTAGCACTCACTCTCTCACACACACACTCCCTGAAACTTGCTTTAAACTTTAGAATTTTTCTGTAGCATTAAATATTCATAAATAACTAAGGAAGTACAGAGAAAATATCCTTGCTATTATTCTGATTAGCAGGTGGGACCTTGCATGGCAGCCTCTGCCATCAGTGTGTGAATTGGTTAATATGACATGTAAAGCGCTGTGAGTGGCTGGAAGACTAGAAATACAAGTACAGGCCATTTAACATTATTATTTATGAGTCATAAACCCGGCTCGTCAGGACTGCATGGGTGTGGTTTGATCAGATTTGACTGACAGTGGTGACACAAGCAAACAACCAGTCACCTGTCTTCAGACTTTACTGTCATTCAGAGGTTCCTGAATCTTACCCACTTTAACCCAGCATGAAAGCCCAGAGGGAAACACAAATACAGAAATAACCAAAACTGCTCTAAATAAAGCCTATTTTTGAGGAAACTGAATTAAACACTTTTTAAAGTCCTGCAAATAACCTGTCAAGGCTTCTTCCTCTTTTGTCTAACAGGGCAAGGTGAATGAGATTTGAAAAGTATTACTTAGAAATGATCTGACACAAATAATGGTCTCATTCACTGTATTGTGTTGTTTAAAAGCACCACTAATGCTCTCTTTCTGCTCTTTCCCAACTCCACTGTATTACACACACACTTTCCCAACGCTTGTATGCGACCGCTTCCAGTTATTGAAAACATGGTGATTCTTAGGAAAGATTCTCAGTACTGCTGAGGGTGAGAACCATACCAGACGTGACACAACAACAAACTGCTGTAAATATCGTTACTTAGTACAGCATTAATTTCGTGCATTATTACTCCTGCATGTAACGGAGTGAACGCTGCGAGTGTACGTCAGTTATATTGGGTTGGAGATAAGAGGCAACATTTGCAGTAAAATATAAACTGCTGTTGTATGTGATAATACTGGGTAAAAGATAATTTGAACTGGCTTTTTGGGTGGTTTTATCTCCCCAAACAACCCATGGCTGTGAAGTCTTCATGCTCAGTTCCACTGTACATCTTACATCTGTACATTTTAGGATGACTTTTACAGTAAGATATATGCACTTCTCAATATGAACTGACAGCAATGTCATATTAAAATGTTCCAATGCAACTACAGTGCCTTTCATGCGTATTTGTTTCCTTTTTGGCCTTTGACTTTTGACTGAACTGAGGCATCGATCAAATGGCAGCAGGCAGCTTTCTTTCCATTATTGTCGTTGCCTTCAGTTTTTTGTGCACATATATTAACTTTGGTCAGATCTCAGTATAAATCAGGCTATAGTTATTTTCTGTGAGTTGAGGGAAATGCAGTGGTACACTTGCAGCTGTATTGGGAATGCGGCGGTATCTTGAGTACACAACTTTCTTTGCTTAACCAGACACAGCTGTGAAACAGAGACCAGACCGACAAATCCGCCAGGAGAGGCATGCATGCACTCTGGTAACCCTACATACTTTGCAAATAAACAGACAGCCCAATTCCTCACAGTATTAGTTGTTATTGTTATTTTACTTCTGCCGAACGTGTCGCATGACAAGTAAAACTAAAACCTATACGTCAATTAAAACGTGACCATGTATAAGAGTCTGAAGTCCCGGGAGTTTCTCTTCAACATGCTCCATCTCCCAAGCATTAACCAGTGAATGGTTAATAGTCTCACGGCTACAAAACTGAGCCAACTTGGTTAACTGAACTTCGTTCTCTCTAATGAACAACATTTTAACCACATTTTATCACCTTCGACAAACTTCAAATGCTCAACAACTCATTGACTACTCATTTTAGAGCCTATAGTTTGATCTAGTGGATTACATTACATTGAAAGGTGTCAGACCATCACCTCCTGGAGCATACAGACCATCATGGAGAGAAGAGTACTAGAATATTGTAGTCAAGTAAAAGTATTGTTACTTTAAAGAAATTTTAACAAAAACAAACAAACAAACAAAAAAAAGTACTTGTAACGCAGTAATTGTGTGTTTGCGCTGAAGAAAATCCAGCATTTTGTGCGGCTTGATTACATACAAAGTCGATGCGAATTCGCTCCGGGAGGTGCGGAAGATGCATTATTGCAATCATCACTGGCTCGCACGAGTTAAAATTTTTCAACTTGAGCAAGAAATTCACTTGGCGCTATGTTGCGAATGCCTATAAGCTTTGAGATTGTCTGGACGTCGCCGACGGCTTCAGAGCGTTTTTTGGAGAGAACCAGGCAGAGCGGGGGAGTGACATGCTGCTGGCCGACAGAGAGCTGCTAAACTATGTGGAAGTGTAGAAGAAAGAGCAGCGCTGCAGCTTTTGGACAAATAAACCCCCAGAGTCAGACTGGATTATGCTCTGACAACTACGCCGTTTACCTGCAGGAGGAGCTCAGAGAAAACTGCTTTTATTAAATTAGCTTTTTACTTTAGTTTTTCGGATTACAACGTTGATTTATCTTCACTGGGGCCTCTCAGCAGCCAGCTGTGAATTTCCGGTTCCAATGTTGTTAGCGCCGGTTGGCACCCAGAGATCTGTTGGACTACTACTTCATATTTATATACAAACCGGACAAAACTGGACATTGCTTGGAGAAAAGAAAGCGAGGAAGTTGAACTACCTGGTGAGTTCAGAAAATGTGTGTCTGTAACTTTATTACAGCTATTGTTGTACTTTACTGTGAACAAGTTATCATAGCCCTGATCGATCTGAAATTTATTCAGAAAACAAACCTTTAAAAAGTTGTTGTTCTGCTGACAGACCTGACAAAGCATGAATTCATATGTTTAACAAATCTGCATTATATTTTAGTTATTTCAGCATCAGTTTGATCCGGTTATTGCAATTAAATCACAGTAAAATGTTGGGTTCATACAGCTGTAGAGATGGCAAGTTGTGTTTATTTGCATTATCGCGTTTTGTGTGAACACTTGGAAGTTGTCCAGCGATAAATCCCCCGCGAGGAAATTGTATGTGAACACACCATAACATTTCTAAAGAAAAATGTTATATGATGATAAATGATACTTCTGTTAAATTGAACACCTTTAGACAGAAAACGTTTTGCAGGTTTGAAAAATGCGAGGTGCCTTTTCAGTTGAATTTGTACAGTGCGCTGTGTTGTTTTATATGGCTAGGCAACCGCCGAATCAGCTGTCCTGTCAGTCTAATCAAAGATTATAGTGCCAGCGCTCTGTAATCTTTGGTTTGTTGCGGTCATATATCATATTAGCAGAAACTTGATCACAACTCACAGGTCTGTGTCTTTTGTTGCTAAAAACAGACAAACAGAGGGAGCTTGTTCTGGCATTGATTGAGAGTTAAGAGGTGTACAAACAGGCAGGAGACAGGAAACGGAGATCCGTGTGGGTACATGAGACCCTCAGAAAGAGGAGACACTGCTGGCAGCACCACCAGTTGGTCCAGGAGCCTCGTCTTAATGATGGTCGGTTCAAGGCTTATTTTAGGATGAGTCAGGGACAGTTTGTTGGAGTCTCTGGACAATCCAAGCAACTGTAAACTTCCGTCAGCACAACTGAGTGCCCGCCTCTACATTCATTCGATTGGACAATGCAAAAAAAAAAACGGAACGACGCCAGGCGCTTTTCTGCTCAGAATATTTTTCAACTTTGTGCGCTCTGAGCGCTCCTTTGAACACATGAAGCATAGCAGGTGCCTAAAACAGGAGGCGCCAGGATGCATAAACAGCCTGCAAAATGCTCACTGCCAATAGAAAACAACAGAAAAAAAGGTGCCTCTTACTGCAAAAAACACGTGCTGTCTGAGCAAAGCCTTATGCTGCAAAATAAATTGCACTGAATGTCAGCATGTACAAAGAAATAACATCAGCAACTTGCCCAAATGTCCAGACCCACAAAACAGACGCGCTTTGCAACCTGTGCCTACAAATGATTATCAATCATAAATATAATACCGCCTTCCTCTGGCTAGCCAATGCAGTTGTATCTGAGGCTATCAACTGTACACTGAGTTACAACAACAAATTTGTAGTAGGGCTGAAACGATCCATCGATCAAAACGATTACTAAAATGCATCAACGAAAATTCTTTGCATTGAGGCTTCGTTTAATCCATATAACACTATAACACAGTTTCGCACGGACATTTATTACTGTCGCACTTTGCGCTTACCCTGTGTGAACATGGCGTGACTGTAGTGGAGGAAGAGAGAGAAAATAGCGAGGGACGAAGAAGAAAGAGTATGGCCGCCGCTGCCAAGCAGAAGTACTTCTTAAAACAATGCATCGATGAAATAATCTGTGGAAACTACAGAGTACTAAAATCATCGTTAGCTGCAGCCCTAGTTTGATGTTTTACCAATACGTCCTCATACTTAAATGACAAAATAGGTTGATTGTCAATTGTCCCTAAACAACATACTGTTTTTCCAAAACGATATGTATGAGCATTGGCAAGTACGAGTCCAGCGACAGGTGAACTGGACCTGAAGTACATTACATAAGTCAATAGGTTAAGCATAAAGTTAAAATAAGTAAATTACATTTGTCAGGTGATGTAGGTCACCTATGAAACATTTAAAACTTCAACACATCAACTTCGACTCGGCACTCAAACCTCTGTCTCCTGAGTGAAAGTCCTGAGTTTACTTGACTCACTTGACTGAACGCAGAAATTGCACCCCCCTTCACCTGCCTCTTGGCCGGTGAATGTACACAGTCAACATACTTCTGTTACTGAGTGTCACCTCTCTGGAGCTCCTCTCTCCTGCAGCTGAAGACACACCTTTACACAAAATATCCCTTCACCTTCCACAAATACAGACACTGTACTTTACTAGATGATAACCATACCACACTGAAACAAAGTATAATTAAAGCTGCAAGCAGCGTTGGGCGGGCCCTCGCACTTGTAGCGCGTCCGGGTGTGAGCCGGCCGAGTTGCATATTCTGGAGCTCTGCCGGTGCGGCTGTGAATTTGCTACGCGGTTCCGACGCCGCATGAAGTTGCTATATGTCACTTCCTGTGTCCCCTATATGGAGCTACATAGCACTTGCCGCTATGAATATAAATCGGTATTGGCGTGTAGATGTCTGCGGGGTGGGAGAGTTATCAAGCACGTAAAGTTTGGTTCAGATGTGAGCATGTACACTGAAGTTACAACAATTTCCTGTGTCGTGGCGAAGAGTTGATCTTTGACGCCACGCCACGGACACGCCCATTGACGAAAAACTCACAGATAGCACAAATTTTCATCTTCAATGCCTTTAGAAGGCACAGCAGAAATTTGAAGTTGGTCGGACTAAATACCTAGGAGGAGTTTGTTAAAGTACAGAGTGTGTAAATCATCCAAAAATGGCCGTAAAATTCAAAATGGCCGACTTCGTGTTGACTTTAGGCTATGGGTTCTTGAGGCTTTTTTGTGCGTCTTGATATGATACATGTCCCCAGATAATTTCGTGCATGTAGGTTGAACGTGAACGAGGGGCTAATTTTTTCCAATTTTCTAGGTGGCGCTAGCGAGTCATTTTGCCACGCCCATGCGCGAAACCCATAAAATACGAAATTTTTCACCACTTCTGACATGTTTGCAAATTTTGGTGAGTTTTAGAGTATGTTTAGGTCGCCAAAATGGAGCTTACTTTGGAGAAAAGAAAAAAAATTTATATATATATATATATAATCTTTTCAAATTCAATAGGGACCTCGCACGGTCGTGCTCGGGTCCTAAATATTTATAAACAGTGCTAGTAACATAATATAAGAGGACCCACACCCAATGATCATCACTTAATCCAATAGAGGGGAAGAACTTGTCAGTGCAGGTTGCACTGCAACTCATGCTCTAGTTTGTGTCTGTAGTTTATACTTTTCTTTCTCCTAATGCCTCTTGTGAGAGCCTTGTATTGTCAGAATGGTCCTGAAAGGCTTGGATTGTGCACCAAAGTCATAAACAAGTATATTAACTAGAGTGTGTGTGTTTTTACCAGGGAAGTTTTCCGGTTTGGGCTCTTTGTTGCAGTAGTCTGAGGTACAGCACATTGGGTAAATGCCTGTGTCATGTTTGACAGACGGGGCACAGATGAAGGGCCGGTCTCGCGGGATTAGTTCAGTTTCGTGTACACACTGGCGCTGCTCGGTGATAAACCGGATTCCTGACTTGCGGATGGCGACGAAACAGACGCCATCAGTCGTGCAGCTGGAGTTGGCACTGCAACGGTCACAGTAACACTGCAGGGCTGGAGGAAGAGAAAAGAAAGTTAAAATGTGACCATATAGAATTAAGGCTGAAATTGTTTTTATTCAAATGTCAAAAGTAGATATGAATAGAATCCAACAAAAGGTTTAAACATTTTCTGCACTTTTGTCCCATTTTAGAGAACAAGATGTCTGACATTTTGCCTTGACAGAAAACCTATAAAGCTGAAAGTACTTGAGATGATTCAACACTACTTTTCAATAATCTCTACTGTACATCTCATGGAGTTTGCACGCCAAGTTAACATTTTTTTAATCCATTGTGTGGGAAAATGAAATCTTTCGAACATTTCTTAATAAAAATAACCAAATGAATATGCACTTCTTGTTTCACTTTCCTATGCTGAGATAAACAAGTTAATTTTTTTCACTGTACTGAGCTCTGTTTTTCACTGATTGAGAGGTTTAAGAAACCCTCTGTACAGCGCTTCCTCCCTGATGTGTGCGTGTTTGGGAAGGAACTCTCACTGAGGGAATGTGACACATTACATCACTCCAGTCAAGCACACATAACGCACACGGACACAGTTGTAGTACAGCTGGACAGCACATGGCTGGCATCAGAAAGATTTTTTTTTGTTTACCGTCGTGCAAACTCCTTATACAGCTGGACATGTAAGTCAGGCCCTTTAGTCCTTTTTTCCAGAAAATGCTGTGATGTTGCAACAGTCTGATCTTACTTGGAATAATTCCTTTTTTAATATTGACTTGCTATTAACAACAGACAGCCAAAGTCCTATCCAATTTCTAGGCTAGACTTTGTTATGAAATGTGCGTGTATTCACAGTGTTCTTCAAAATAACTACCTTTAGTCATTTAAGTGCTTCACTATGTTCTGTCAGTAAAATACTTTCTCTTTGGTAACATCCGGGGGCAGCTGTAGAAAACAAACACTGACAACTCCGTCTCCTCTGTAATGTCGGACGTATAAGCATAATAAATAATGGGACTGACATTTCAAGAAGTGATTCTAGATTTTTCTTATTGTCAACAAATCCCAGGTGTACAAACAGTGAATGTCGTGTGTGTGTGTGTGTGTGTGTGTGTGTGATAACCTGATGTCTCTCCTTCCTCTGAGCCGTAGAGCTCCACTGTTGTCCAGAAACTGTTAAACCCATCAGTGGGCCCCACTGCTGACCTGGGTCACATGTTCCTTCATCACCATGAACACACGCACTGTAGTTTATTCTGACTCAGTCCCTCATACACCGTCCTGCTGCCCCTGATACTCACTACAGCACCACATGTGGATTCATCCACTGCTGAAAATAGTCCCCAACAGATGCATTTCCTCCTGTTTGAGTAACGCTTCATAAAAAATACAGTGAGCCGATAGAAAATGAAACTATGTGTTTGTGAGAAAACAAACCACATAGTTGGTTTTCACGGGGAGGGGATCTGTTGATAGACAGTTTTTGAAAATCCCAGCCTTCTCATTTATGCTTTCTAGTTCTTAGTTAGCGGACGCAGTACTAAAGAGTTGAAACCTGAGCATGCATATCGTAACAATGTTTGGTAACTCTACCCACCATTACTCAGTTTAAAGTACCCTCATCTTTACAGACGACATACTGACACAGGTGAAGTGGAATCATACGGCTCATGCTGGAAGAAGAAGCTTATGTTACAGTTTTATTCACGTTGTTCCAGTACAAACAGAATCCCATCTTCTCATCAGTACATATTACAGATGTTTTAAATCAAATAAAAGAGAGCTTTGTCATATCAAGTAAGTTTTTTTTTCTACCAACCAGATAACGACAGTACACCTGATACCTAACATGAGGTAAGCTCTCATCCCAACAGCTCATTTGTAACATTCCTGCTCCCTTATCTGATATTATTTGAGTCCAAATCCAATCTAGTTTCATCATTGATCATGAGTTTTGTTCAACATCAGCTGGTGAACGGCTTTACTTATACTTATATGGTGAGGACTAGCATACAGTTCTAATGTGTTTAACAATTTCATTTTGCTTCATCACAATATGATGCAAAAAAGTTGCCTTAAAGAGGAAACAATTATATTTGAGTCTAAAAAATGCCGCATTGTGCACCAGGCCTCAGGCTGGTCCAATTGTAACACTCTTATCTTCTGCATTGCTAATTAAAGCTAACCACTGCAGCATCTCGCAGTCCTAATGATGCTGCTAACAGTCAGCTAGGAAAAAAACCCAGACACACAATGTTCGGATGCACCTTCGGGGGTTTCGCTGATTTGGGATATTTTAGGGGGTTAGCACATACATTATATAATTTTTCTTCATGTTTCAACTCAATTGAACTCATGGGCATGTGAAGCATCATGGCTGTTTGTCTACATTTCTGAAAAGATGTTGGGACCACAGATCAGGTCATCTTTAATCACCTTTCAACACGGGGAAATAGCAGGTTAGATAGGAGCAGAGCCAGGAATGTGCTTAATATAAGGGTGTCTGCTTAGCAATCCCTGAGGCCTCAGACCATTAGTAGTGCTATGAATAAACCAGGTCACTTTCTCTTGTCTCCACAGTGTCCTTGCCCCCAGCACAGGGCAGGCAGAGAGCCGAGAGTCTGGTATCATTATGCAGCTCAGAAACACATCGTGCATGGCTGGTCAGGGTAAAGCAACACACACACCTTCTGAGACAAGACCTCTGAATAATTAACAGGGCAGACAAATGAGCAGACAGTATCTGACGTTGACACAAACATATGGATGGGATCAAGAGTATGAAAGGTACCCCGGTGGAAGTAAATGCCAGTAAAACTGTCCATTGCATTACTGGGAAGAAATAAAACAACATCAGACTGCTAGTGTAATAGTATCCAAGTTTTGATGCAAGAGCCGGCTCTCCATTGTGGAATTCATGGTATTGTCTGGAGGTGAATTCCAGACAGACAAAGTGAAAACAATTACAGCCACTGTGTGTGTGTGTGTGTGTGTGTGTCTGTGTGTGTCTCTGTGTCTGTGTCTGTGTGGTATTAAGGAAGGAGGAACAATGTATCAAGCAGTGGACGGCAGGAAACTGCTATATAAAAGCCAGCTGATACTCATGTCTGCTGACTCAACCTCAGATAAGTCTGTCCCACTAACAAACAGCACTGTCTCATCGAGGTATGTCTCAGATGTCTAGACTAGAAAACCGCTCAAAGGTTCTACATGTGGTAGTGTATTAAAAGCCCCTGCTACTGGGAAGTGGTGGTTCAATGTCCTGCAAAATTCCTTATGGCACTTTCATTCCTGTATGTTACGATGTTAAGAATTAATGTTTTAATTTGTTACTGGGTGTTCAGACAGGGCCTGTGTGGTTTAATTAGAAATGTACTTTATTGTACTTTTTAATTGTCACATGTAGCCAAATTCATTCTCTGCATTTAACACATCAAGGGTGCTGTGCAGCGCCCGGAGAAGAAGAATTTTACAACTCTACAGAGTTATCATTGTGACAATCTTTGTGTCCTCCGTCTCACTGAGGGCCAGGTAAACAGGAGAAGTGCCCCATTCAAGGTGCAAAGCAATCTCGTCTGAATGTGCACCTTGCTCCTGAATGTGGCATTTCTGGAAAAGTTCATCCTTTTTGTGCTGGACGATTCAGCGTTTTATTCTTTGCAGGAGGCCCCTGTGTCAACATCCTTGCTGTGTTAACAAAGTGTTTTCATTGAAATGAATGAGTACTACTGCTGGTTTCACACTGTGTTTGACAGCAGAAACAAAGGCCCCCTCCACTATCATCATACCAGACAGAGTCTACAGCCATGCTAGCAGCACTGAGGCTGTACGTAGGCACAGCTGTGGATGGAATGGCTGATGGGAAGGTCATTACTTTTGCAGTTATTTGATCATAAACCAAAGTATGAGCAAACAATGCCCTTTTCTTTTGACCTGATGGTGGCGGTGGAGGGACAGTCAGGGGATCACCACAGTGACTACGTCTCATCCTCAGATTAACATGTACACATGAATGTGTCATGGCAATTCATCAAATAGTTGGTGAGACATTTTTCTCCAGCCCATAAACGCCGACCTCATGGTGCCACTAGATGAAAAGTGGTCACTTTAGCAGCTTGAAGCCACTAATGTTAAGTGTTCCATGTCTGAAATGGCTCATCATCTTTTCCTCTTAAGCAGTGCATCAGAAGTCCTGTGTGGATCTCTGTGACTAACACACACACACACACAACTGATTAGGGCTCTTCTAGCAGATCACAAATCAGTCAGTGTGTAGAAGAGAGAACGCCAACAAGACTGATCGCTCTCTAAATGCAGACAGCGGCTGTTTGTTTTTGAGTAACACAGATGAGTCAGCAGCAGACGCAGAGGAAAACAAAACAAAAACATACACAGTCACTTCTGCCATTGAACCACGTTTTCCTCCACAAACTTTTCTTCATCATAAAGTTAAAACAAGTGAAGCTGGCTTGGTCCGAGCAGGGGAAATGTATTAAAAGCAGTCACCTGCAGAGATTCAAATGCCCAGCTGCAGTCACAGAACTACACCAGCAACAACTGAACAACACACAACAGCTAATAATGCACCCTCAACCTACATTTGATTAAGACTGCACTCTTCCTCTCAGAGGCACAAGCAGCATCACCAGAGACAGTTAAAGAGAAAACAAGCACTGATAATCAGTGTTCAGGATAAACACACCAGTTACACGTCTATTATATGTTAAAGACACAAACTGCTGTAATATTGTTATTTCTGCATATGTTTAGTAGTTAGTCAGCTTTAGCTTAGAAAAGCCGTGTTTAGCAGAGGTGGATATACACATGGGTGCGCTTCATTTTCAGCGACATGTTTCTAGTGGTTCCTGGATATGAGCATAGTTTCAGACATTGGATATCTTTGAGATGTCCATCTCTGAATGGAATTCCATTTGTTGTGCGCAAAAAAACCAAAAACAAAATCAGATGCTCAACAGTCTTCATGGAGAATATTTCTTCATAATCCACAGCTTTCTATGGAAAGTTGCATGTGAGGATTTTGCTGCATTT